AAAAAATGAAAAAGAATAAGCAAATAACAATCAAAACAACGATTACCAAATTTGATACAAAACTAAATGAAAGAAAAAAATTAGGGACTAAATCAGAAAAAATTAAGAAAATGATAAAAAAAAATTAACAATTAAAAGAATAAGGACTAAAATTGAATAAGATAAAATACTAAGGGACATAAATTGAAAAAAATCAATAAAATGATACAAAAAAATAATAATCAAAATAATAAATATCAAGCTAGATACATAAACTAAATGAAATAAAATATACAAGGATAAAAAAAATTCAAAAGGCATAAAACCAACACAAATAGAAATCAAAACAATATAGAACAAAATTAAGATAAATAAAAACTACAAGACACAATTAAATTTTAAAAAGGTTAGGCATGAATTCCAAAGTCAAAAAAAAAAAAGAAGGGGTAGGAGAAAAAAGCTCATCATCACCAAACCCTTGATAATTAAACTACATGTTTCACCTCATCGACTGTGTTGCCATGTAAAGTTTTGGTAGACATAAATGGTGGCGATTTTTGGTCATTGGACATCCTTACACATGTCTCCTGTAAGGAAATGGCGGCATACATTCTCATGTGCACCTTTTTTTTATATAATATTTATTATTTGTTAAAAAATTAATTTGCCTCTTATTTAGATAAAGAATAAAAAAACAACTATGATAAAAATATGAAAATGCCTAAGATAACATGTTTAGTATTTTTTTTAAAGGTATTTTAGTCTTTTAATTATTTTTAAAAATAGTGAAAAGACCATGGAGCACTTTACAACCATGCATTTTTTTATTACAAGGGTAGAGAAATAACTTCAACGTGTAATAAATATATGAAGTGGTTGATTTACCATCATTCCAATTGAAAATACCAATAAAATCTCATGAGAAGGACTATTTCACCCCTAAATTTGTTATTTCTTGGCTAGTAACACAAAGGAAAGAAACATTATTGCACCATAGCAATCCACAATGTAACGAGTCTTGCTCCATAATCTTTTATTGAGGCTCTCTATATTTTGTTGATGATATTTTTATATAATTTTTAGAATTTGTATTTTTATATACCCTACTGTACTAAAAAATGAGGAAACTTTATGAAATTTTATTATTCACGTGAATAATAAAAATCTTTTTTTATATTTTCTTACCTTTTTTTTCCCTATTACACTTTTTATAGCCAATTTAAATTAAATTAAGGTAGTAATTACGGTAAAGTATGAAAGGAAATGTTACAGGACTGAAAAGTAAAACATGAAGAAAATATTTATAACCGAAAATTCATAATAATTTGTAATTTGGTATAAAATCTCATTTTTTTATTTTTATAGTTTATATATATTAGAAAGACGAGAGAGAAATTTGTTAGAAAAAAAATAGAAGAGAGAGAGTTGTTGAATGACATGATTACAATAACCAAAAAGTTTTATTTCATGACAAAAGTTTGATAGTGATTTTTTTTTTTTCAAAACACGACAGGGCAGGCAAATCAGGCTTGGTTTGGATTTTTAAGATTCGATTAATTTTTATTTTTTGAGTTATTTTGGGGTTGCTAGGTGGTTTAAGATAGTTTTATATTGTTTCTAGTGTGAAAATAGGTAAAAAAAAAATGAATTCTCGATCCAGAAAACCATAACTATGATATTTTGGCCACAACACTGGCAACGAATTTTGGGCATGCTAGTAGGAGCAAGGTTAGTTAAATCATTTTCAGGTATATAAACTGCTTAAATAGAAGTTATGACCCCTTATCTGATAGAAGTAATTCTTTATTGCAAAAAACTCATTTCAGTACTAAAGGTGGGTTGATAACCCACAGTAAAGGGCATTCTAACCAATAAAACGGATATTTCGGATCTTGCTTGATGATAAATAAAAATATGTATTGTTCATTAACTTAGTATGTGCATAATATTTTAGCACTATATAGATGATATAAAACTAGAAAAGAACATTATGGTTAGGGCACATGTCCTATCAACCCTCGTACGTGCAATGCTAGGAATATAGACATACGTAAACACTCTAATAGTAAAAGCATCTCACTATTTTTCCTTTTATGTGTTGAAAAGCCATGAAAAGTTTCTCTAGATCACCACATTTTTTACTATCAAAAAATAAATAAATAGAAATAGAAATACTTTCGGAATATTTTGTCAGTAAATTACAATGAATTTTAATGAAAAAAATATTTTCTTAGTATATAACGAGGGAATTATGGTGGGAAAAAAAATTAAAATAAAACCAAAAATTATGATGATGTGTCATTTATACCAACAAAATTATCAATTGAATTAATTTCACAAGTAAAATCATTGATAAATTATTCACTTCCCCCTTACATTGTTCATCATGTCAATTGCAAAGAGAATCTTCGACAAAACATTTCATTGGTATTTTCTAAAAAGCTTTATAACTGTTTATTTTTCAATTATACTATTAATTATTATTCTTCACATACAAAATTACCGACAAATTAAAAAGTTATCTGTAATATTTGATGATTTTTAAAAATTTTCTAGTAAATTAAGATTTTAAATTAAATATTACAGACGAAATTACCAATAAAATGGTTATAAATATTAATATTTAATTATCCGTTAATAAAACTTTTGGTAAAATACCCTAATAAATAGAATCCTTCGTTTCACAATAGACGAGTCTCTTCTTCTTCTTATTTTTCTTCCCCTTATTAAAAATTATCAACGTCAATTTCTTTCTTTCACTTCTATTCTCTTCTTTCCTCAACTCCTCCTCTCTTTTTTCACTATCAGATATGTCTTCTTTTTCTTTTTCTTTCTCTTCTCAATTTTTTTAATTAACATACCTTATGAATTTATTTATTTTTATTTTCAACTTCATTTACAACTACATTAAGATGAGATTTTTTTTTCATTATATTTTTTTTTATTTTTAAAATTTTATGTTCTTAATAATTGTATGAATGTTATTGTAGGATTATTTTTTTTCCATATGAGATAAATGTTGTTGTTTTATTTTTTGTGTTATTTACTTGTTACAAATTTATTTGAATTGATTTTCTTCTTCTTTTTGTTCCAAGCAATTCAATTTTAAGTGCCGTGAAGTATTGATTTATATTAATATAATTATTTTCTAGTTTTGTTAGATATATTTTTTTAAAAATATATTTTTAGATAATCATTGACAGAATTGCACACAGTATTTTTTGGTCACTTACAATCTTTTCAAGGAAAATATCAACATAATAAAATAATTTTTTTTTTATATTTTTTTATTAGTAAATTTATCAATAATAATATTTTATTATTATCAATAGATAAAAAATTACCCACATACAAAAGATTTTCTTCTAATTCTATAAATAAATTAATTGTTAATAAAATAAAAATACAAATATCAAATTTCCATCATTAAATATAAAAATTCTGGTAGTGTCTCTAGCTTAAAAGACAATGGCACGGGGCATCACTCGGTTCCTTCGTGTTATTGAACGAATGTGGTTTCTCCATGCTTGTCAACAGCGAGAGTAGATCTAACTTATTATGGATCGCTCACCGCTTGGCCACATACACTGAATCAGACAGTCTCCTAAGGTTTGCATTTCCACATTTTTAATGAACTTAAGACCACTACGTATTCTATGGGGCCATGTCTTCAATATAATTGGCACGTTGTCTTTGTAAGAATATTAATGGATAAGACATAACTAACCATGCACGAAACTTCACATGTTTATAATACTAAAAAATTAATAAAAAAAGTTTAATTATTTATAAAATTATTATTATTATATTCTATTTAATAACTAAAGAATTCTTGGGGCATCGAAATAGCAAAAATATCACTAAATAAAAAGATGAAAATATTTCTCGTTACCCTGAGGGAAGCACCTGAATCCTTTGCAGCAATTATAGATAATGTTTTTTTTATTATTATTTATATAGGGTGTTCGGGCCAGCTTGCACGCACCACGACTAATTTTCACGGTCCACTGAATATTTTGCAAATCCAATAAACATATAAAACATCATAAAATGACAAGCATATATGTTAGGATTCAAATTTAGATACAGTGAAAGGAGATAAATTCCTTCCACTGCTATACCAAACGCTAGAATGCATAGATAATGTATTTTTGGTGCACTCGTCGAAGCCTGTTGGCCAGGAGCATCAAGTGCTTGAATTTGCTAGGATTGGACACAAAATTGTCCTTGATAGGAACATGCTCCTGTTCTGTCCTTTGTTAAAACAAAGAATACTTGAAGAGAGAAGGCGAGGGCGAGAAATGAAAAGGGAATGGGAGAAGATTGGAAAAAGAAAGTCCCTTTTCTTTTTCTTTTTTTCTCTTTCAGAAATGATATAAATCTCTCACTCTTTTTGTTATTTTTATTAACAATGGTTTTCTTTCTCTCTGTTTTTCTTGAATAAATTTTGAACCCTTTCAATCTCATAACTACAAAAAGTTTTTAAGATTTTTTTTTATGTGTCTTGTGGGCACAATAATGGCTAAAATTTAGGATTTTCATTTAAAAAAATATTATATAAGAGGGGGAAAATCTTTCATAAACAATTGGTTATATATTTTTGTTTTATTAATATGAATATTTAAATTTGTTTGCTTTTATTTCTTCAACTAATTTTATATATTTTAAAATTAATAATATTTTTTATTAAAATTAAAAAATATCTGTTTATTAACATAAATATCTATATTAGTTTACGTATATTCTAATTAATTTTATAAATATAAAATTAATAACCACATAAATTTTTAACTATTTTAAAATTTATAAAACTCGAATCGATAAAAATAAATTCATATTTGATTTTTTTTATTAATATAAGTATTTAAATTAATTTTTATATATATTAACTAACCTTATAAATTTTAAAATTAATTATATATAAATCTTAAATGATTTTAAAATTTATAAAATTTAATTTAATAATTTAAAAAATAAATAAATAAGAGTTAACCACAACACCAATTTCAAAGTTTACTTGACTCGGTAACGGCGCTTTAAAAAATGGAATTACAAAATGGACCATCTTTTATCTATAAACAAGAGAGGAGAATTCAAAAACCTTATAAAAAAGGGGTCTCCCACCACTCCTAGATCCTCACACGCCACCCTTCATCCTTATCCCTGTCATCCACTGCAACAAGTGGCTGTCACTCTAGCAACCTCCTGGGTGGGTGTTTGTTATTATTAACACCTCCATTAATGGCTGCTATAAGGAGCTTATTGAAGAAAAGTTCATCATCAATCCCAGCATGTAATGAGCTGATGATGTTTAGAAGATTGTTCTTTGCAGAAGCTGCTACTGTTGCCTCTTCTTCTTTTGCTCAAAGACTCAGAGATTTGCCAAAAGATCTTCCTGGGACGAAAATCAAGACACGAGTTTCCCAAGTATGTCCAGCCCCGTTCTTCTCTTTGGATCGTTAATTTAAACCAAGAATACCTTTCATTACTTAATTCTTGTTGCACCAATCCATGATAATTTTCTACTTTGCAACCTACCATTTTGTTTAGCTACAGTGGTATTCCTTTCCTGCTGTTTTATTTTTTATTTCAATGTTTTTCTCCTCAATCCTCTGTCTCTGTGTCTCTGTGTGTGTGTGTGTGATTTTATTTGATATAAAATTGAGTCCATTAAGAATTCTCATATTTAAACAAAAAGAAAGAAATGGAAAATAGTATCGTCTTTCTGCGTCCACTGGATTGGCAGCCGTGCTGTTCCTTTTTTCTTCCTTGCGGCAGTTATGTCGCGCCACGTGCTGTCTGTACCTTTGCTTATTCAGCCTCTGAAACGACGGATCGTCTACATGTTTGACGAAGACTGGTCGTCGAGATAGGTTTCAGACAATTCTCCTTCTCCCAAAGTTGTTCGTTCATAAGGAAAGGAGTGTGGATTTTCAGCATCAAATATTTTGTGATCTTGGATCAAGTTTTTGTCTCCAAATTAATGCTCTTTTTTTTTTCTAATTCAAAATATTCAGCTCATTGGGAAAACTCCACTTGTGTATCTTAACAAAGTGACCGAAGGATGTAGAGCTTATATAGCTGTCAAGCAAGAGATGTTTCAGCCCACTTCTAGCATCAAAGACAGGTATCTCAGAATTCAAACTATTTCAGATGTTATCATTGACCTTAGAGATCAAATAAGAACCATAATGTTTATGTTACAGACCGGCAAACTATTTCAGATGTTATCATTGACCTTAGAGATCAAATAAGAACCATAATGTTTATGTTACAGACCGGCATTGGCAATGGTTGAAGATGCTGAAAAAAAGAACTTGATTGCTCCTGGGAAGGTTAGCTTATAGTCACGCTCTGGAGTTTTTTGATATTATTGGTTCAATCAGATGTTTTGATCTTTTGAATTTCTCCAACTTTTTTATTAATGTTGTATCAGACGACTTTGATAGAGCCGACATCTGGTAATATGGGGATAAGTATGGCATTTATGGCAGCCATGAAAGGATACAAGATGATACTAACCATGCCTTCTTACACTAGCTTGGAGAGAAGGGTGACTATGAGAGCATTTGGAGCTGAGCTAATTTTGACTGACCCCACTAAGGGAATGGGAGGAACAGTTAAGAAGGCATATGAACTTTTGGAATCCACACCAAATGCTTTCATGCTTCAACAGTTCTCAAATCCTGCCAATACTCAGGTGCATAATTTCAC